GCCAAAAATGAAAATTTGGAAGAAATTGAAGGGGTACCCCTTGGAAAAATCTCGGAAAAATAAAAAATTTTTTTTTGTTGTTTATTATTAGCAATGTTCTTCCGACGTCTGATTTCTTTTTAAAAAATGCGTTTCTAAAGTGCATAAACTTTTGGGATTGACTGTATAGCCAATACATCCTTAAGAAATGATATACTCAATTTTGCAATGAATGCATAAAATTTATGTATGATATTTTCAAATTCTTTTCGAACGGAACGGTTGAAAAGTTAGTGTCGTTACGGATGTTCACCCAACTGGCGATATCAGCAATGTGCGAATGTACCGAATGAATTAACACAGTAAAACGCTCGGTGGCGTAGCGTAAAGATACACGATAAATGTATGAATCCTTTATTTGTAATGCATAGCGCGCGTCATAACCCCTCGGGTGAATTATCATCTCGTGAAAATGAAACGAAACGGTCTCGCGCGATAACATTTTTTACTCGTTCGATAGGAAGTCTCGTCGGCGTCGGCAAGGTCATCGTGCTCTCTCTTCGAATCAGTATAGCATTCAGCCATGAACCACTACTTTCTTTCTCACAGCCTTGCGAGGGTGCATTCTAAATGAAACGAAAGGAACGAATTGTAGGACAACGATAATAATGATAACGAAGGATGAAGGGCTGAACGTTCAATTTTTTTTTTTTTAATTGTTTTCCAGCGAATAAAATTCGAAATACATTTAATACGATTTTTATTGTTATTCGCCTTGACTCGTTTAACTCTTGTTCCACGCGAGACAGTAATTTTGTAACTCAGCCGAGGACGCGAGTTTCGTTACAAGGTAAGGCCTCGTACGCATCGTGCGTGTAACACGATCGAACGCATGACCATCATATGACTATTTGTTGTGTTCTCCACGCTTTTTTATTCAACAATTTTTCCAGCTGATTGAATTAGTCTAATGTTACAACTGTTCTCCCAATTATTAAGAAGAGGAATTAGAAGTGTAATTATAACGGTGAATGAAATTTCAGCTGGAGATATTCGAGTAGAATTCATATTAATGAATGGCGGTGTCAGTAAAATTCATTTTACCGAATTAAGCAGTGAACCATAAGATATCCGGTTGAAACAGCAACAAAACGTATCGATAATTGCAATTTATGCTTTACACCACACGTGGATTACATATGAGCTCAGGCTAAGTCCAAGGCATACACGATGTCCTTGCATTTATTTCTCGTCAATGCCTCGTCGATTGCTCCCTGGTTTTTAATCTCTCCCCCCTTCTAGCTAGAGAGGCATGTGTAATATTCGAGTCGCTCTTTGATCAGGTGATTATATGGAACAAGTATAGGCCGATGGAAATTGCGTACCTTGCATTCCGGAATGCCGTGGTTGACGAGCAAGGCCAGTCCTTTCTCAGACAGCGCCCTTACCAGCTTCGACCCGACTTGCTTCACGACACCCCTTTGAGGACACCTCTCAGTCCCTGGAACGAGAAAACAGAAGGCGTGAGACACGAAGAGGACTGGAGAAGAAGTGCGATGAGATGTCCCGCGGCTGCGATCGTTAAACTTACTCGTCTAGAGGACTTCAAGCGTATACGTACAGTGGCTATACCAGAAGGAATCGACCTATGTACTTATTCATCTACCAACATTCTCTGTCATCAAAGCGCGGCTCGCAGTGAATGACAAACCATTTTTGATTGTTCAATCAATATTGAAAAACAATAGAAATGAACTGCAACATTTGACTGAAACATTAAACACGTGGCAGTACAACTTTTAATCACTGTACGTATACTCCCCTCCTATTTCCTATCATCAAGTCGATTAGATTCGGATCTTCAATCTAAGGGTATTTAACGTGAACTAATTATTGGAAAATTTTCGATTGCTGTCAGATCTCGCGATTAATATTTAATCGTTCAAATTACTTGAAGTGCGCTCGAAAGTTTGATTAAATAAAAGTGGTTTCCCAGTAGATTATTTCAATGCCAGCATCGAGGACAGTTTCTTGGGAAATCTAAAACGATAATGCTTCCCTCCTTGCACCCTGCGTGTGTATCAATCATTCTTTCATTGACGTACGGTTATTCATTGATAGAGGCTGGCCGCTGTTATCGCTGGAATGCAAAAAGACGAGAATATCGGCTCGACATTGATGAAAAGCGATGCCTCTGCGTCATTTGTTTCATTTTTATTACTTGCGGGGTCTCGTTCACAGAACAAATGATTTATTCCACAGCTATTCCAGGTTCGTAAAACACGCAGCTACGAGCAGTCGTTACAAGCTGTTTATTTTGTGTATCAAAGAGAAGAGAGAAACCATGGAAGTAAATTAATATCTCTTAATATCGACGCATGTTTTGTAAACGTATTTTCATGTTTGCTTGTTCGTCGTATTAAAATACAAACTGTAAAACACCAATAACAAGTTTATTGTGTGTTTATTCCCTGATAAAACTAGATTTTGCAACCGTGCTTTCAAAACATCTGTTCAAAGGATTTTCAGTAGCAAATATATAATTCAAACGATAAGAATGATAATTGTTTACGACCAATTATAGAGATCAAGTTCCCGGATGATGAATCTGACACATTATATTTATAATGTGACCAACAGCATCGGTTGGAAATGTGCGTGCGATGCTGTCACGCACGGGGCGTGTAACAACTTCCCTCAGCGACATTTAAGTGAATCAAACGCCGATAACAATACACAGAAAATGCGTCACAGCCCTTCCCAAGCTGGACATTTCACCGCTGCTGATTCGATTCATTTAGAACCGGATACTATTCCGAAAGAACGTATCCGAATTTTTACGATGTTTAATTAAAAGAATTGTATTACATGAGAATCTGATAAGGGGAACGTTATCACAATTTCACGGATCTCATTTCAACGCCACGCGGCGACGATTGCTTTCTCGTTGCTTCTTTCCTCGTGAGAACGTGATTTCACTTGGCGACACGAGAGACCACGTAAAAAGTCACGGAACAGGCACGATTCGGCTCGTGTAAAGATAACACCGAACTACGTCAGCCGATTTCGCGCCAGGTGATCGTGTTCGAAGTAATCAGCAGAGTTCTCTTTTCTATGGAATCGATAAATCTCAAATTACTTGCTCATCATCTGACACCGAATCACTTTCTAAATCATCTGTTTATCCTGTTAAATGAATTTTTACTCCTTTTATTATTATTATTGTAATACGGATAAATAATATTGAGGAAAATTTAGTCTTGTGAAACCGAGCAAAACAGATAAATATTTTCAAGGCTCTGAACTTTCTACAGTCTTCACGCCTCTATTTGTTTCTCCAATAAAACGATTTAAGATATTCTTAGAAATTGATAATTATTTTAAGCATATAATTCTTCCCACTGTAGGAATAATTGATTGGCCTGAGGAAGATCATATTCTATTGTTACGGAATCAATTTTTATTCTCGTTTTATTTGGAGATGTCCAAATTAAATGGTGACTAAATTTATTTCACGTCTTATTTCATATCGAAACTTTATCTGTTATCGCCGAAGAAAGCCAATTTAATATACGTGAACAAGCTCTCGTGGAAATTACTCTTTATCAGTGAAATCAAACACTTATTAAAACATATAAGTTTCAGATTACGTTTCGATTACCACCGGCGCTGTATGTCACGACGGACCTTCAATTTATGTTGTAAAACATAACTAAATTCCAGAAACCAGACGTACGTGATAAAAAATAGTATAAATTCTGAAAATCTAATCTTCAATGTTATCTGAACGACATATGTTCCATCCTATCGCTGTATGTATTTCCTCCTCGAAGCCACAAGGAAACCGCAATATAAATTCAGGTATAAGAGATATTTTACTACCGATTTGCCCTGTAAGTAGACTACCTATGCGAGGATCTGTAATATTACACGTCTTAAAACCAGACGACCCTGTTCCTAAACGCTCGAAGGCCGGCTCCTCTTTATTGTTCAAACAGTTTTCAAAGTTAAATCTTCTAAAAGGCCAGAGACTAACAGCTTGGCATATAAAGCGAACCCGTGGCATTCGGGGCTATCCTTAATAGATAAGTGCGAGGAGAACGAAAAATTGGCATGCGGTTCGCCGACGGTCCTTGGCGCGCCTTCCGTGAAGCGATACGGCAAATATTGAGTAGAGATACTAATCGGCCAACCAGGTAATCCCTCGTAAAGCAATATATAAAGCAGCTATGCAAGTAACGGGACAGGGCAATGCCATAAATGAACAACTGCCATCAATCCTAACGGATTTTAGTTATGGCAAAATTCTCGCTGATATTTACAATGGATTTTATGGATTAAACTTGAGAGAAGTGTTTTATTATCTGCAATCTAGTGATATCGGGTTCGACGAAGAAAGAACAAAAGGGACAGGAAACTGGGCACTCCGATTTCTATCAGCGATCTCTATCGCTACGAGTTTGCGTGTCTCATTTTGTTGCTTTCTATACTTTCTCACTTTCCTTATTGCTATATCAATACAAACAAGACGTTTTTCCTGTTATTTCTGAAACTCTTGATTTCCTAGTACAGTCTCCGTTTTTTATTCTTTAATCTTTCCTACAATACACTGGAAAACTACGTCCTAGGAAGAATATTGTTATCAGACCGATGCAAATCTACGTAAATCAGGGAAACAATGTATTCTCATTCAAACTGCCAATTGGCACTAACAATAAGAAAGGAACGAACAGCTAAATGGTAGTCTCGTCCATTCAAGAAACAAAATGACGTGGCAGATAATCGTTCTTTTCATTTCTCAAAAAACATGTTCATGACTCACTCGATTCCTTTACAAAAAACGAATGCTCGTGGAACCAATAATTTTTCCTCGTCAATGCAAAGATAAATAAATGTCGTCTATTATAAATTTACAATATTTACTTAAGAATATATAGGCTATACATACACTTAAACAATGCTAGCATGTTGAATTTGTTGTTATAG